GGGGGATTACAAATTACTATATGCACTTGCAATTTCCTTACAAATACTCCATCTGTAATTCTTTTCATACTTCTTCCATGCATGCAATTAGGCTCAGCAGGTGAACTAACTAATGGGACATAATTATCTCCGGAATAAGAAAATATTTAAGGTTTTTCGAGTATGCCTGTTCCAGGGTAAAAAGGGGTTATATTTTCTTATTAATAAGCTACTGACCTGCAGAGATCGTATTGACTCTGACTTTGTGTTTTCTTCCAGCTTCGAAAGCCATTACCTGTATCAAGCAATTACCAAGCTACCGATGGTCAGACAAAACACCAAATTATTGCAAGAACAGAAAGCAACCCTAAGATAGCAGAAAAAGAAGAAAAGAAAAACTCACACGAGTATCGCTCTCCAAAGCAGCCTTTGCCGAACTCATGCCTCCACCATATCTTCCCATAGAAAGGCATGATCAAAAGTAAATAAAAATATTTATAAAAAGGATCTCCTAAATAGGAAAATATCAATGGAAAAATACCCGGGGATTATTCTTTCGGAAGCAATGTATGTTAAAGAAATTGATGCACCTCCTGCAACATCAATAGGCAAGTTTAACTTCAAGCAACAATTGTATGTTCATTTCCATGGATTGTTAAGAAGAAAAATTAAAGCGAGAATGGATGAGAAACATGCCTGGATTCATTATTGGAAGGAAATGTTTGAGTAGAGAAACATATGAGTAACTTGATGCAGATAGGGCAGCAAGATATCCATTTCTTGATGTCTCTAAAAGTGGTTTGCTTACCTGCCGATGAATGTTCAGAATATATAAGCAACTACGACATTGTTTGAGATAAAAAGAATATTGTCATGAAGAACACTACACCTCTGGTCCATTTGCAAGGGAGTGAACAAGAATGTCGATACTGCCAAAATCCTTTTTCACAGATTCAACAAGCTCCTGTGATAAATGTATGCAAAGTAGTCAGTTATGGCATCATTCCATTACCATATGAATTACAAAGCAAGAGTCATTTTAATCACTGCACTGGGGAACTATAATGAACTTGATACATTCATTACAGTTAAACACCCAAGATTTTTAATATAAATATCCATAATACATACAAAGTTTGCAGCTTATTGAGCCCATAAAAACATAATAGAGTATGACTATGGCCTAGTAGGACAACGTTTTCGTGAAAAGCAATTTTTTTTAAATCTAATTAACAGGGGAAGCCAAAGGATCACTAGTAATACATAATCCATCCATTGATTTAATTTAACTAAATGGACTCAAAATTTCAACTTTTCTTTTTCTGGAAAATCAAAGATACATGAGAAAAATGGTCAGCAACATAAATTTGAGTTTACATGGCTCTAAGCCTCTAACTATTGAGGAGATAGCCATGCAGTTTATTAAACCATACAAAAGGTACCATTGCTGCTTGATTTGATATCAAAAGTTGAGTATGTCATGCAGCTGAAATGAATTTTGTAATAACCCATAAACACAGAAACCATGACAATATGTGCCTAACTTGGGAGAATGTGAGATGTAAGCCAACTTTAAAAGTTACATATTATGAATTTGACTGAACACTTTTTCACCTGAACTGTCCAATTCGAAGACCCGGCATAACGTTTATTCGTTTTCACCTGAAAGGAACTAAAAATTAGGATACCACAAAACTAATTTTGCCTACTTCTAAAATCATATGGAGAAGAAAGCTTACGTCTTCAGGTACATCCTCAGGTGAGTCATAAACAGCATCCATGGGATAAACTTTGGTGATCTCCATTAACGACCCATCAGGCAATCTGGGAAAGTAAAGTTCCAATTAGCATACTGTAAGGTGAGAGTTCAGCAAATAACAAAATCCACAGAATCAAACAAGAAAGGCCATTTTTGTTCTTACACACGTGATTCATCAAATTTTCCACGTCTTAGACTGCTCTCGAATATGTTGAGTGCCTTTACAAAGAAATACATGTAATCGTAAGAAAGATTGAAAAAAAAGTTTACTTAAAATGAAAATTTTGCTTCTAAATGACCAATATATTAGATCGAGATACATACAGGCACCCATGTTCCAACAAGAATTTCGGCTCCAGCAGCAGCAAGAGATTTTGCTATTGCCCAACCATATCCATTGTCATCAGCAACACCAGCTATGAATGCTCTTTTACCTGCAAACCAATGCATCGTATTAGATGTTCAAGTATTTTTGTTCATAAATCAAAACAAATTTCATGCGAGTCAAGTCAAGACACAAAGAGGTAGAAAACATTTTAAGGTTCAATAAACAGGAGCACATGGCTAGATGACACAAGTAGTCATGTAGTCTATCAGTATTCAACATTATTTCACCTATTAGAAAAATGCAAGTAGGCTTTTGAATTAAAGCTTAGAGGCTAGAAGACGGTGGTGAAAAATAGAAGATAAAATATCATTGATAGACAGGTGACCTCTCAAATCAATAGGAAGTCCAGACAAAGGCTTGGTGTCACTTGCTTCAGACATTGCTCTTGTAACAATCTTTTCAAATTTCACAGGTTTTGAAGTGATCCTATGGAGGAACGGCTGCCTTGATGAGATGTTAGAGAAGCTCGCAAGCCTTGTCCAAGACGCTTCTTTATGCTCAGTGCTGACGTTCACCGTGCTTGAAACTAGCATTTTACGAGAAGAAGAAATGCAAGGCTTAATGTTTGCCATGTAAGAACCAGGAGCTGCTGCCGTTCCCATCTTTTCTTTTCTTTTTCTCTTATTTGAATCACCCAAAGTTAATACGGTTCTGCAAGATCAGGAAGTACAGTTATATAATCAAATGAAAGACACAACAATAAGGTTCACAAAAAGACAACTTGTAATCAAATATCACTAGCTAATATAATTAAAAACACCAGGGATTTTAATTGCGGTTGCGGCCACGTTTATCGTAGTTGCAAACATAACAGATGTTATTGTGGTCACTTTAAAGTAGTTGATTTTTTTTTTTGAAAGGAGCTGATTTTTTATAAACAGAATAGTGGAACAATAGTAGGAATAGCGGCCCACTATTGCCGCAATTAGACGCTTTCGGTTAAATTGCGGCCACGGCACTATTTTCTGCTATTTTCTGCAATAGCGGCTGCCGCTATCGCTATATAACTGCCACTATTCTACTATTTAAATCCCTGGAAAGCACAAACATTCCCATCTTAAAAGTTAGGGCATGCAATAAGATCACACATTAAAAAGTTTCATTAATCAAAAGTTTGTCACAAACACCCAATTCAAATAAGTTGAAATGTATAAATCAAAACTATGATCTTTTCTGTAAGGGCAAAGTTTGGTTAACGGGTTCTTCAAGAAATCGTTTGACATACATTATGTACTGCAATGCTCAGACATGTAGCACATCAGTGTTCATTTCCATCATATTTCTCAGCAATCAAATAAGAAACACAAGATTTCTCATATCAGTTTCTCTACATGGTCAACCAACATGTAACTAAAAACAGAAGATCAAGTTCAAAACTTGGAAAAAAGACATCAGAAAGACGAAAACAAATGAAATTAAACAAAGAGATGGAATGAACCCATTACTAAAGTTTCAAAAACAAACCACATTTCATAGTAACTATGGAGAAAGAAATAATGAGAACCGAGGAAACTGAAGAACAGTATAACGTTGAAAGATCCGAAAACTCACCAAAGCAAAGAAGGAGAAGGGTGGATGGGAATGAGCTTTAAATGGTATAAAAAGTGAAGTTGATGAGGTATATAAATGGGGTTGGGCCTCTTGTTTTGGTTTTTCGATGAAATCGAAGTGGTTGATGAAGTTTGGTTTCCAACAGTTGGGAAGCAACGAGGGCAGCTTTGGAAATGTCGACTGGAGTTTGGTTTTGGTGCCTTCCCGTTTTAATTACCTAATTTTAGGGGTGATAAAATTATAGTGTATTTTTTTATAGTTCCAAAAATATTTTTCTCCACTTATAACTCTTGTGTTTATTAAGATTTCTTTCGGTGGAACTCTCCAATAAGATGAGTTCTTCGTCTGACCATAAATCTTAGAAAATGATTAAATTATGGCTTATATTGTAAAAGTAAAATGTGAGATTGAAAAAATTAGGAGTTTCAGTTATAAAGGTAAAAAGTTAGCTTAATTAGGGGCTTCAATTATAAAAGTAGAAAATGAGATTGAAAAAAATTAAGGTCTCATTTATAAAGATAAAAAGTGAGATTGAAAAAATTAGGGGCCTTGAATCTCGATTATAAATGTAAAAAGTGGGATTTAAAAATTAGAGACCTTAATTATAAAGGTAAAAAGTGAAATTAAAAAAAATTAAGGACCTTGAATCTCGATTATAAATGTAAAAAGTGAGATTTAAAAATTAGGGACCTTAATTATAAAGGTAAAAAGTTGTATTAAAAAAATTAGGTGCTTCAATCATAAAGGTAAAACATGAGATTACAGAAATTAGGGACTTTAGTTATAAAGATAAAATACAAAATTGAAAAGATTAAAAATTACAATTATAAAATAAAAAAGTATGATTGAAAAACTTGGATCCCTATAAAAAGTGAGAGGCTCGAGCAATCGTTCAGGGTGCACCCCCTTATAGCTGGCTATTCGATGAAGTATGTCTATGTTTGTCAGGATGACATAACTTGAAGTGTCCAAAATAAAAATGAGAAGATAGTTGAGAATTGTGAATGATGTAATTTATCCATAAAAAATACAACATACAATAGTTTTGTTAAATTTTAAACAATAAACACTAAAATAAAACTTAAAATAAATATTAGATATAATTTTTAAAAAATAAAATTTAAATATCAAAATGAAATAAAATTAATAATTTAAATATTAATAAAGTTGTTGTTTTTACCTGAATAATATGTACATAATAAAATGCAAGAGAGAAACAAGACCTATTAAGTATTGAACCCCGTACCTCTCTCTCATAATAGAAGGCCTGTACCACTTGAACTGCATCCCCAATCTGCATGCTTTTCAAATGAAATAATATATTTCTTAAATACATTCTTAGATCTATAAAAAACAAAGTAGAGTTGGGCAAGTAAAGAAATTTCAGTCTGCAACCTCATAGTTTTCCCGCCATGGAAGTCGACTCGCCAGAACAGCTGCAGAGGAAGCAATCCACTTACCTCTCTTTCGTAAGCTATTTCTACCTTTGAATTCAGTTCTTGGTTCGGTAATTTCCTAAAATCTGTTCAGAACGTTAATCCCCCTTTCTCTTTGGGTGTTATAGGATGAGAATTTCGAGATTCAGAAGGAAGTTTACAGAGGCCAACAGTACAGTCAAATTTATTTTGCTCGTCTTCACTGCATGAGAGCTTTGCTTTATTCCCTTGTTCCCAACTGGAAATCCCATCTCCCTGGTATCCCCTCTATATAAAATATATATTGAACTTTTACATTTTAGCATGTTTCCAGGGTCAAAATTTGGTTTTTCTTTTCTTTTTAAAGTTTAATTTACTAATCTGGTACCTTTGCTCTGCTGTTTTTTTGTGGGTTTTGGTTTTTTAAGTAAGCAGCAGCTTTAGCGGCTAACAGATATCAGCATTTCAAATGAGTTAGTAGTTTGATTGAGTTTTAGTTTCCATGGAATGATTTAAATGTGATCTCTCTCTTTGTAGTTTGTACGGTTTTAGGGCTAGAGGAAGGCAAAGAATGCATCATCGTTGGGACTCTTTACAAGCATATGAAACTCAAACCCTGTATCCTTGATGAATACTCAAAGGAGGTAATATGGTTATTAATGGATGTAGTTCATTTCATTGGTTTTTATTTCATTTTGTTTATTGAACTCTATATGGAAATTCAATGTTGTTTGACTTCAAAAGTTCTTTGTATAATCTTTTTATAATCTACAGAGATCTGTTGCCCCTCTTGTAAAACCCCATAATTTTATTCATCAAGATGACTATTTGGTTTTGGAAGATGAAAGCGGAAGAGTTAAGCTTGGTGGGACTGTGCTTTCACCCTCCGTTTATGTAACAGGTCTGTATTGCCATCAGTTGAGTATAATTTTTGGAATTTCTGTTCACAATTGAATTGTTTGTCAACACATTGGAAATGAATGCATTTATTGCAATTGATTACTTCAAAGTTTTGTTTACAGAGCTACTAGATTTTTATCATATGAGCTTGTCAGGAGCCTTAACTATTTGGCTCATTCTATTCAGTTTTGAAGTTTTTTTTTCTTTCTTCCACTTCCTTTTAAACATATGCTTCTACAACCTAGAAATGCTTATGATTGAGTGATAACCAATAACCTTTTGTTTCTCATCATAACTTATTGTTTATTCATTATTGGGGATTCAATTAATGAAATATATGCTTCAAATATTATTCTAATGAAGCATGCTGATTTTTCACTTACATAATCCATTTGATAGGTGTTGTCATTGCATTGCATGGAAAGGAAACCAGTGCAGGAGCCTTCTTTGTTGAAGATGTTCTTGAAGCTGGCCTACCACCTCAGATTGAGCGGCAGCTGAAATCAAGTATGGTCTGATTGCCCCCTTGCCTTCGAAGTTTATGTTCTTACGTCTAAAGTTGCATCTACTCTATAAAAGAGCCACTTCTCTGTTGGGTATAACCATTCATATCTTACCTAGTCTGAATAAAGCGTTTATCCCTGGTTAAATTGATATTAATATCCAATATGCTAAGAAAAGAAAACTACTAATGGTTTGCAACTTATATATATATATATTGCTAGAATAGAAATTAGTAGAACAAGTTGCCACTTTGACAGTGACGAGTGGCGATATGAATGATACATTGGTCTTTTAAGTTGTAAGAACTCTTGCATTAAAGCTGCAAATTTCTGCAAATTCATAATGTGATTTTTTTCCATCAAGAATTGATAAGTAGAGCTCTCTTTCTCTCCAAATCTATATATCTGTCTTAACCTGAAATTTCAGGACATGAGATACTTTATATCCAAGGAATCCTGACAAGTTGCACCTTGTTTTGTCTCATGTTTGTTATTGCAGCTTTTTGTTTTACTTTTTGAAAAAAAAAATCAATTTTCTCTATATTTTCATAGGAATAATGAGTTTGAGTATTGAGAATGGTAGGAAGACAATTAGCTTGATTATTGTTGAACCTTTTCTTAAATATTCGTACTTAATTTGTCTCATGAAACTTGGGCTTCCATTTTATCTAAGCAGACATAGGCTGTATCTTAAAGTTTGGTCTTTCTCTGTCTGTAAACAAGGCCTCAAAGTCTTCAAATTTTAACTTTGTGGACAGGAGAAGACAAGTATGTTGTTTTTGTCTCTGGGCTTAGCATTGGGAGCAGCTCCTCTAATCCCCTTCTGTTTCAGCTTCTTGTTGATCACATAACAGGGCATCTAGGAGATGAGGAGGTTCTTGTCAATTCTATTATATTATTCTTTTTACAAAACATTTTACCACATCATCAACTATTACAGCTGGCTGGCTTCATAATATTGATGAATAGGAGCAAGGCCTTGCAGCAGAGATAGTTCATCTTGTGATTGCTGGGAACTCTGTTGAAATTTCTCGTGGACTTCTTAATGGACAGGTAAAAACTTTAACTTATTTTTTCCTTAATCTATTACTATGGAAAGCCTGTATGCATTATCCTTCTCTTTCATAAAGTTTGACCATTTTTTTTAAAAAAGGATTTTTTTCCCCTTCAGGACCTCTCTTCAGAGTTGTTTGACAGTAATAATAGTTTCATTGTAGATTGTAGATATAGCACCGACCTCCTTTGAAAATTCTCTAATAACCATAATTTTGCATCCTTCCCTTCCTCTTTTAAAGAAATAAAAAAGATTGGACTTTCCATTAGACTAAATGTTTCCAGGCAAAAGTCTTGCTGTTGTAATAACTCTGTATGATGTGAACAATAAAAATCACCATTCTTGATAGCTGATAATCTTAAAATCCTGAATGCATCTTACACTGATATTTGGATGATAACCTTTGGGCAGAATTTAGCTTCAAAGGATCAGTCAAGGTTGTCTGAGCCATTTAAAGAGTTGGACATTCAGTTGACTCAGGTTTTACTTCTGCCCATTTTATGGTCTTGTAATTTCCATACTGTTCTTGTTGCTTATCATTTTCACGTATGTTCAGATTGCTGCAAGTTTGCCATTGGATATCATGCCTGGATCTAGTGACCCTGCAAATTTTTCCTTACCTCAGCAGGTTTGATGTTTTCTATGTGTGTTGAGAGTACATAAAACACAATTGCATTTGTATCATTCCTAATATCCTTCTCCTTTCAGCCTTTGAACAGGTGCCTTTTTCCAGGGTCAGCAACTTATAACACTTTTAGGTCCTGTACAAATCCTCACTGTTTTGAGCTTGATAACATCAGGTAATACATGGATATTGTACACTGTAAGTGGCTCAGCCTAAATAGATGTATGCTGATTGCTCAGCTGTGCTCCTTTATTTTCTAGATTTCTTGGAACATCAGGTCAGAACATAGATGATCTCACTAAGTATTCGGAGGCAAAGGATAAACTTGACTTTTTGGAAAGTACTTTAAGATGGAGGCATCTGGCACCAACAACACCGAATACTCTTGGTAAAAGACATTTATATGTTCTTATATATGTGTCGTTGTGCATTTATTCATATTTATACAGTTTTGGCAAGGCTGTGACTATACGCGCCTGCGCCTAGGATTATTCACCCCTTAGACCCCTTAACGCTATGCCCATTTGATTAGGCGCATGCCTTGGTGTGCTTTTTTTGTAAGGCGACATGCACAAAAAAGGCCCGCCTGATTGAATTTCTCTCTAGTTTATTTTAATTTTCACCTTTTTAAAAAAATTTGATCTAAATTTTCTTGTACGAAAAGGATAATATCAAAATCTATACTTTGTAATATTTGAGCATTCAACAGGAAACATTGACCTCAAGGAAATCATACATATTGACCATTATAAAAATTTGCATGTTTTGTATATAAACTATACTCCACTTTAGAGTTTATTCTGTATCTTATGCTATATATAAATATATATGTATACACAAAAAATTACTCGTATACATATTGCACTTTACTTCACTCAAGCTAGTTTCCTTTTTTTTTTGCCTTGCGCCCTTGACAACATTTTTTATATGTAAACTTGTTTGTTAGTTTGGAAATTGAGAGGCTTAGCACCCATCAGTAAGTTATATAATCTTCATAATAAAAAAGAAAAAAAAACTTTATGCAGAAAGGTTCCAGATTTTGTAACTTAAAAATCGATCCTGAGAAATGACAACATTAACATGCTTCAGGTATTGATTTTAAAATGATATTAGTTTTTTGGCTCTGTTATTGCTTGACAGGGTGCTATGATGTAGTGATACAACATATTATGTACAACAGAAATCAAGGAGCTTACATCAATTGTTAACTGTTTTTTTTTTGTCTGACAGGATGTTATCCTTTCACTGATCGAGATCCCTTCCTAATTGATAGCTGTCCTGATGTTTACTTTGTTGGTAATCAGGAAAAATATGAAACTCGCTTGGTAAAAGGTTATTACTCCAAGACTTTCCCTTACCTATTGAAAATTACCTTTCAAACAAAAGCAACAGCTGAAGCAGCATCCTTATTTTATTACCTGGCCATTAAACTCTACTTGCTATTAATTGATACAGGGTCGGAAGGGCAATCAGTAAGACTTATTTGCATTCCTAGGTTCTGCGAAACAGGAGTTGCTGTTGTGGTAAGTGTTTGTCACCTTCCAAGATGTTGAAAGTAGGAAATGAAGTTACCATGTTTGTAGTTGTTTGAGGGAACACATATATGTGTTATTCATTAACTAAGCCCTAAGCTACCATCGTGGAAATGGGAGGTTATGTCATTCCTACAGTATGAACACTGTATTCAACCTATTATATGGTGTAATATTACTTTACAAGCAGTCCAAAATAGAGTAAATCTTGTTCTGGTCTCTCTTTATCCAAATTTATCTCTCTACTAAATGAAAAATAAGTAGGTGCGTTGTTTGTCAGCCTGTTCAGATGACAAGAAACATTGTAGTCATCTACCAAATGTATGTGTATAGAAAGGTTATTATTATAAATCTAGGACATTTCTTCAGAGTCAATAAGGGAGAGAAAGAAAGGGGAAGTGCATATCAAATACCATTGAAGTTTCTCTCTGCCTGCTTGTTTTCCATTTCAGTAGTGTGCCTTGTTCTGTTTGAGCATATAAATACAAGTTTCCTCTGAGTTGTTGGTTGTAATTAATTTAAGTTTCGATAGTGAACGGTTATAGTGTGCAAGTAGAAAATCACCCTATGGAGTTTCGGTTTTTCAATTCATTTATCCATAGTTGCTAAAAATAAGAAGAAAGGTATACTTGCCACACAGCCAGTTTTCATTAATCATGAGTGGTCGGATAATATGCAAATCTTATTGGGCACCTATATTCTCATGAACTTAACACCAAGTTTAATAGCCTCCTACCTTTTCCCTGCCCCACCTCTATAATAAAGTAAAGGAAGGTTGGGAGTGTTCAAATAACTGGTAATAAGCTTCCATGATATGTGCTAGTTTTCTTGGTCTCCAGTTTGATTTGTAATTTTTGCTCAGTTTTGTCGGTTACCTGAGTTCCCAAACAAAAGATGTATTTATTTGTTACATCCTTTATCAAATGGCCGGTAAATGGGAATGATACAATTTAGTAAAGTTTTCTATCGTCTTTATCAGTTGCACTCAGACAAGTAAAGCTGAATAGATTTTTAAGAGATGTTTTGCAGGTTTAGAGACAGGCTAATATAGTATTTCTATCATATAGCTTTTGTGTGTGTAACATGCACCATCCATGCTGACTTTTGTGTGTGTGTTTTAATGTTTGTAGGTCAACATGAGAAATCTTGAGTGTCATGCTCTAACTTTCGGGATGCAATTCAGCTCGTAATATGGTATGGAGTTCGAATACCCTGAAATTCAGTTATGAACCATTTATGATTAAGTTCTGTATGGCAATGGAACCTGCATCGAGTAAAAGACACAATGGAGTTGGTGACTGATTATTAGAAGGGACGGAATTATTATGATGTTTAATGTTTGATCTTCATCTGTCTTGATACACATAGGACCTGCCATCATTTTTCATTTTCCTCTGTCCTAAAATTTTACTTTATTGTCATTGTATGCAGTTATCAGTCAATAGCTTCTTTATTTGATATGTGAATGAAGGGTGAAATCTCGTGTCCCATGTGCCATGTTAGATAAAAGCAGGCTAAAACAAAATATGATCCTCCCCCCTAATTTTAATCCTACGATATAAAAACTGCACAAACCAAACAACCTCATCGGTTAAAGGGTTTGTTGTTATCCCTCAAGGTTCCGAGTTCGAGTATCACGTATGTAGGGATATGAACTTTCATTGTTAAAGGATTAAAAATCTTTGAATTGATATTATATTATATTATTCCTTTCATATTTTTTAATGATTTTCTTTGGCTAAAATAAAATCTAATTAAACGATTTTGGAAGTTCCTGTTCCATCGACGGTGGAGATTCACTTGACAAGGATGAGAAGTTCACCACCCTCTGATGATATTTGATTATTGATAGATGCTTTTATAGGTAAAAAGGCTTACAAGTATTCACAAGCTTGTGTTTGTATCACATGATTTTAAGCCTTTTTCAGTTTTGGAAAATAACACCACAACTATCTTTCCCCCTTCTTCTATATATAATTGTTGACTTATCTCCTCCTTTAGATTTCATCATTTTTTTCATGATTCATAATTATATCTAATGTATATTTATATATATATAATTGTCAGTGATTAAGAAAAATATCGACCAGATAGTACCTTTGTAATTACTCTAGATTAATAAAAAAAGTGTATTATTTTTTTTATAGTTAATTGTACCATATATCCCCAAACTATGTCTCTTATTCTATAATGATCTTTAAACTTTTAAATATATTAATTTCATCCCTAAATTATGACTCACATTCTAAATTATTCCCCAAACTTTTAAACATTCCAAAGTTATCATTAAACTATGACTCTTATTCTAAATTAGTCCCTAAACTTTTGAGCAATCCAATAAAATCCCCCTAAATCATTCAAAACTTTAAAGTTGAAAATAGAAATATTTAAAAGTTTGGGGATCAATATAGAATGAGGATTATAGTTTGGGGATGAATTTAGTATGTTCAAAAGTTTGAGGATTTATTTAAAATGAGACCGTAATTTGAGGATGAAATTAGAATGTCTAAAAAATTAGGTGAATGATGATCATATTTTAGGGACATATGGTGCAGTTAACTATTTTTTATGTATAATTATATAGTTTTCATAATATTCTTTTATATTAATTGAGTCTTAGTGTTGTTATTATTGCAATATATTAAATAAAATGAGTTCATTTATGAGTAGGAAAAGATTAAGGTAAATTGTATAAAAATAATAAATTTTGTTACCTCCCACAACTAAGAGTTAATAAATTTTAATGAGAAGGAAAATTACTATAAGATAGAATTTTAATTTCGAGATTTGGAAATTTATTATCAAATGATTAAGAGTATTTAGAACATATATTATATTATAATCATCTTACCTTAATAAAAAAATAATTTCGAGATAAATCAAAATTAAAAGATTTTATTAACAAAAGTGTATTTAGAAAACGTTTAAATTTATTATATTTTTATTTAATGTGTTAATTTTGTGTTAAATAGAATATACATATTAAATTATGACATAATGGGTGAAACATAATATTTTATATTAAAAATTCATCTAAAAATGATCATAGATTAAATGTTAAAAGATTTATATTTTATATATTGATAATACTAAATTCGGGATTGATATCTTATAAGTTATTTTTAATTTTCCTATATAAAAATTATATAAGGATGTTAAAAAGATAAAATTATCATTATAATAATTTAAATAAAATTAAATTAAAAACATTAAATTAATATTTAATATTTTTCAATCAAAAAACTTATATACCCAATTTTCTTTATTATTATTGTTATTTATTTTTGTATAATTCCTTCCGTTGAATTGGACACGAGATCTGAATTTGACGGGTTCCGATTTGATCCGGTTTTATTACGTTGGATTTTTATAAAAATCGGGTTCGGATTGGATCGGTTTGAGTTCATGATTAAGGTGAAAAATACCTGACCCGATCTGATCCAAAAAGTAATGTAGTTATACTTGATATATTTAGGGATAATTGCAATAATATCCCTTTCTATATTATTATTTTTAATTAGATCCTTATTTTTATTGAAAAAAAAAGGTGATATCTTCTTATAAATATATTTATTTCGGATCAGATCGGGTTTGAATTTTATCTCAAAAAGGTGAGTCAGGTTCGGATCGGGTAAAGTCACTCCTAATTCGGGTTAGTTGGGTTCAGGTGATGATATATATTTTTCAAGTCGAATTAAATTGGCTAGAAAAACGACCTAACTCGATCCATGTCCATCCCTAACCCTAAGTAACACTAAGTGGATCAAATAGTTTATATAAGGATGTTAAAAGATAAAAATGATAATTTCACTAATAATAGCCAAAATAATACTACTTAGTTGATAAGAAAAATGACAACTTTTGTTTTGTAATAGGAAAAAAGGAAATGAAATGAAAAAAATAAACATGGGTAAACTACACATTTAGTACCTAAAATATTACTTTTGTTATGTTTTCGTATCTAAACTTTATTTAAAAAAATCATACATACCGTTTAGTTCAGGTTTCAATTTGGTATCCCATTATTAAAAAATTAACATAACTGTTAATGTAATATTTTTTCAATGAAGACGTGATATTTATATTATGATGATATGTCAAAATTACTATTAATTTTTTAACTGTAAGTACCAAAATAAAACTTAAATAAAATGTTAAAAATGATTTAAAAAATAAAATTTAAGTATCAAAACGGAATAAAAGTAAGAGCGCAGGGAAGCCTTAACTTTTTCTTTCCTCTCTAAAACTCTCACGGTCACTCAACTTTCTCTAACCTTTTTGTTTTACATTTCTTCTTCATCATCTTCTCATTTCATTCATCACTCTAACTATTACCCCTTCAAACTCTTCATACTTTCCTCACTTTTCCAACAAACCCAATCTAAATTTTACTTCCACTCATCAAATAATTTGGTGGGGGGTTCTCAAACTATCCTTAAAACCTCAAAATTTCCCATTTTTCTTTTGCTTGTTCCCGAGGGAAATGAGGGATGTTTTCATGGTTGCCAAGGATAGCTCTCGCTTGTTGGAGACCAGTAAGTCGATATGCCCGTATGAACAAGGATTATAACAACACCAACAGTGATGAGCTTGAAGACGATTCTTCATCTTCACCAGACTCACTTCTTTGGTGTAAAGACCTTGAAAAACACTCTTGTGGCGATTTCTCATTTGCCGTTGTTCAAGCCAATGAGATCATCGAAGATCATAGCCAAGTTGAGACCGGCAAAGATGCAACTTTTGTTGGTGTCTATGATGGACATGGCGGCCCTGATGCTTCCCGCTTTATCTCCGATCATCTCTTTCAAAATTTGATTAGTAAGTTCATGTCTTGTATTGGTTTTTGGTAATTCATTCTACAAATTATCTTAAACATCGTTTGACAGGGCTTGCTCGAGCGAATGGAACGATTTCTGAAGATACTCTTAGAAGTGCTTTCTCCGCAACGGAAGATGGGTTTCTCGGTCTGGTTCGTAGGACATGTGGAATAAAACCATTAATGGCTGCAATCGGATCTTGTTGTCTGGTTGGGGTTATATGGAGGGGCACGTTGTATGTTGCTAATTTGGGTGATTCTCGAGCTGTAATCGGCTGTTCGAGTCGATCGAATAAGATAGTCGCCGAGCAGTTGACTAGAGATCATAATGCAAGTAAAGAGGAGGTCAGACAGGAACTGAGGTTGCAGCATCCGGACGATTCTCATATCGTCGTTATGAAGCACGGAGTGTGGCGTATCAAAGGCATCATTCAGGTATGCTCGTTTTCATTCATCGGTTATCCGCGATTATCGGGAGGTTCGATGAATGTCATCGTCCTATGGCTATAGAATCACCAAATATCAAAGATTTTCAGTTGAAATGTTGATGATTTTCATATTTTACAGTACGGTTGGTTGTTACTATGAACATTTTATCCTTGAAAGTTGCGTTTTTTCTGTTACTTGGCACACAAGTCAATCTGATATTGATAATTTGCTTGCGAAGCTTTTAGTGCAAGTCACTTGTGTTTTTGACTGTTGTATACTTGTATGTTCACCTGTGAACTGGTTCAGGTATCTAGATCCATTGGAGATGCATACTTAAAGAGGCCCGAGTTTTCTCTCGATCCTTCTTTCCCACGGTTTCACCTTTCCGAACCCATATGTCGACCGGTGTTAACAGCGGAGCCCTCATTGTGCACCAGGGTCTTACAACCTAGTGACAAGTTTCTCATTTTTGCATCCGATGGACTTTGGGAACATTTGACGAATCAGCAGGCCGTCGAGATCGTTTCCCGCTCTCCACGAGCAGTAAGTGCCTGCTTTCATCGCGTTTCTTTGCGTCTTAATGTACCATGGAACTTTTACCTCTCTTATTTTATTTAGTCGAATACTAATGACCGACAGGGAATTGCAAAAAGGCTCATCAGAACAGCTTTAAACGAGGCTGCTAGGAAAAGGGAGATGAGATATGATGACCTTAAGAAAGTAGATAAAGGGATAAGACGATTTTTCCACGACGATATTACGGTTGTCGTCGTCTTTATAGACCACGGGTCGTCGGTCGGTACGAAGACGTCTGTTCCAGAGCAGTCGGTAAAGGGGTTTGCCGACTCCAGCGGACCATCAAACTTCAGCATTGATGTAAGTCAGGAAATGAATGGGTCCATCATCTGAATTAATAGCTCCTCACTTGAAATAATCAGTGGGGTATTTACCAAGTTTCTGTAAGGATTCTTTTTACTTTAATTTCCGAACATCTGGTAGTTGTTTCTTCTCCCATTACCAAGCAAAACAAGAAAACTTTGATTTCCTTTTATGGGAAGCTAAATTTTGATCTCCAAGTGGGTATTTATATGTAAATTATAACTCGAAGAAAAGGAAAAAACAGGGAAATGAAGTAACAGAGCAGAAAAGGAAATGAAAGGAAAGGAAAAGCATCCACTTGATTTATAAGCTTTTCTGTAATACAAAATGTGTACCAAGAGGCTGAGTTTTGTACCTCCTTTGAATCTTTTCTACTAATTGTGTCTTCACTACCACTTCTCCATCTATTGAAGTTTCCATAAGAATTCCTTCACCGAATGAAACTTCCAGAGTTTCATATCTTTTTGTCAGTCGATCTCTTGACAAGACCTCTAACAGATTCATATGATTTACCTAGAACGAATCTACTGTCATTGGACCATATTTATTGGTTCCTATCAGTCTATGAATGGCCATCATGATCTTAGCCCTAACACCAACATTAGATGTCAATATAAAAGTTACCATGCGTGGTTGGAGAAAAAGAATTGAATTCTCCCTCTACAACTTTAAAATTATTGTTTATCATATTCTTCAATCCATCATAACCCTTGGCTGTAATTCTACACTTAAACCACAAAATGTCCAAAAAGAATGAATCGTCTAGAATTGTCACAATATACGTTTTTATTAGGGATGGAAATGGGTCGGGTTTCGGCCAACCAGATCCGACCCAAAAAATATATATCTTCCATCCAATCCGAATCCGACCCGACTTTTTGAGATAAAATCCGAACCCCGATCCGACTCAACCCGAAATAATAAAAAATACTATTTTTATTCAATAAAAACATTGATTAATTGAAAAAAATATATATAAATAAATATTATTATAATTATTTCTAAATATATAACAATTTCTACTTAGAGGAAGGAAAAAGAAGAATTTTGCTCCTAATAGATATTGAATGCACAACCTAAAAAAGATACAATGTGTCAACATAGAGTTTTCAACCACCTACTCTAGAGATTATATAATTTTGAATTAAATATACGAAAGAGATGATTATAATTACAAACCTAACATAAAGGCCAATAAAACATGTTGAGTTAATCGAATGACGAAATTGGCCAAGAGGGGGGTGAATTGGCAATAAAAATTTTGTGGAAGCTTTTGCAGAAAATTGAAAGTAATTGTACAGCGATTTACAGTGGTTCGACTTTCTCAAACAAAGTCTACGTCCACTACCTTAGCTATCCACACTAAGGATTTTCCAACAAATTCACTAATTTGTTCTTTCTTTTGAGGCCAAAGAGATAACCTTACAATTCCCTCAAGATATACCCCAACTCGTGAGAAGATTACAAATTTGCAAACTTACAAGAAAATCTCACAAGGTAAGATGTTTGCTCAATTCTAGAACAAAGAAAAGAACACTCAAAGATGAATACAATTGAGCACAAAAAGTGTTCTTGAAAGCAAAATGAATATTGAATGAAAATAGGCTTGAAATGCTCAAACTTGAGGTTTGATGCTTTCTCTTTGATTCTCTCTTGATTCTAGTTGCTTGATGTTTCTTGTTTTTGATCAATGGCTTCTAAGCTTGCTTAAATACACCTTGGATCACTTCTGAACGTTGGGGATGATTAGAGAAGATATTATAGCCGTTTTAGTGTGAAAACATTTAATAAAACAGCTTGGTGTGTGGGGGGAATCGGTTCCCCCTTGAAGGGAATCGGTTCCTAAGTGTAAAATTCAAATATTTCGACCGTTGTACAAGGGGGGAATCGGTACCCCCTTGGGGGGATCGGTTCCCTCCGAGCATACTGGAATTCTCGGAGCAAAACTGTTTAGGGGGGAATCGGTTCCCTCCGAGCATTCTGGAAATCTCGGAGCCAAACCATTCAGGGGGGAATCAGTTCCTCCTATGGGGGGGAATCGGTTCCCTCTGAGCAATCTGGAATTTTTGGCTTTGAATTGGTTCGAAATACTTTAAAATTATTTTGAAATTGTTTTATGATTAAACTTAATTTTACACTTAAGTAAGGATTAAAAATGATTTTTGAAATATTTGGAGTAATGTTTTGATATTCAAATAGTTATCGAATATACTTAGAAAATCATTTGGAAAATATTAAAATCCATTTAACTTAATTTGTTATATCGAAATATCAAAATGTTTCAACAATCTCCCCCTTTTTGATATAACAAAACATTTTAGTAATTTTAAGATTTTTTACTCCCCCTTACTTTAACACTTCTTCAATTTATCAAGTAAAACATTTAACACTTATTCTTCTCCCCCTTTTTGTTAAATCAAAAAAGACATTGTAAAACAAGGTTTTGAAATCATTTAGCCAATTGATTTATTAATTATAAGCTTAAGCTGCTAAGATCACAATCAAAAGAGAGGTTAGCCATTAGTTTCATAAATCAATATTCATAAATAATGTGATATGGCAAAATTGGTCATATTGCTAATGATGATGTAAATGATGCAAAAATGAATAAAACACCAAACATATAAGTTCACACCATTCATAAATCCAAAATCCAACAATCCACAAAATCAAACAATCCAAAATGTTGAAACAATATTCTTTTTGTTCAAAGTTTTAAAACTAAACACATAATCAAACATCCGGATCGGTAGGAGGAAAACGGGCTCGCATAGCAGCCATTTCATGAGTTAGTTCATTAATACGAGCATTGGTTGCTTCATTGTTTGCACGCATCTCCTGAAGAATCTCTAATTGTTGAGCTCCTATTGTGGATAAATGAGACTCTATAGAGGAAAAGCGCGAATCCATTGTAGCATAACGGAAATCAAATGTCTCCATAAAGGATTGAAAATATGGAGGCATTTGAGTCGATTGTTGTGCGTGCTCCTCGGGTTGTTCAGGTTCTTCTTCAGCTTCATCAATATCCCTCATTAATTGTTCAAACTCGGGATCTTCGTCAGCTTCGGGTGGAGCTTGTGAAGAACTAGCTCCCGGAGTAGAAGATCGAACCCATGCACCGGTTTCCTTATTTTTGACCCATCCCGCTCTTGTTAAAGAAAGAAGATTGATTTGTTTCTTAAGAGGAAATGAGGCATCTAGACCAACTCGGAGTTCAGCTTTAGAAAGAGATTACTAAGAATACAACCGTAAACTAGTGAAGAACAGAGTTTCTTATTTGGCACTAGGTTAACGGTTTCAACAATTTCAGCAAAGATAATCTCAGAGAGGTTTATTTTTATATTGTTTTCAAAACAGTGCAACCACCAAAGATCTAAAGCTCTAAGAGTTGAATATCGACCCCCGGATGGTCGAAACCACCAAGTGATCATGAGATGAAGGAAACACTCATGGAGATCTAAAACACTTGCACTATCATTCCGTTTATATCGTGAACCTAAAACTTGTTTTTCGTTTGATAAACCTTCATTGTCCAAGCCTAAGGCATTGGCTATGTAATCCGGATCAAGATGGAAATATTGACCTAGGAGGTAGGAACGCACTCCTATGGTTTTGGTTTTGTCACGATTTTTGATACAAACGGCATTACAGTAGAAGATACGAACAAGTTGATGATAGACAATGGGTTCAAGTTCGAAAAGTTTATCAAATTTCCATTCGTGCAAGATAGGGAGATATTTAAAGTTAATGTCAACCATAGTTTGAAGAGATGGGATACGTTCTTCCCTAATCTTATATGAGTCAAAATATTGGTAAAACCAATAACGATAATCTTTAGGACCCGGTTGATTGAAACAAGAATTTTGGATAGTCAAGTTAGGATCAAGATTTGGAATAGGATTTTGAGGAATAAGAGGAGGACTTGGTTGACGACTAGAACGACTAGATGAAGACCTAGGACGTTTAGGATTTGACATGGTGAAGGAAATCGGAATAGATAGAATAACCTGCATTTTTAAAAACAAATGTATGCAATTCAATTAATCCCAAAACTCAAATGAGTCCTCAATATTTCAAGATTCTCTAAATCAATCCTAATGGGCAAAGTTTTTGAAAAACTTTTGGAAAATATGGTTTTGAGAAACAATATATGTATAGTTTTTCATAACAACAACATAATTTAATCAAAACACAATAATTTGAAAAATAATTTTTTTTATATTTCGAAAATTTAAAAAAAATTTGAAAAATTCTTGTGTTTTTGATGAAATTAGTTGTAACATCTAGTTTCTAATCACTAAATAATCAATGCTTGATCACTATTTCAACCTAGAACTAATTGAAACTAATCCTATGTTCAAAAATAATGAAATAAAGAGTTTAGAAAAATTTACCTTGAAAGATGAAGATTGAGGGGATTTAGATGTTGTTTGCACGATTTTAATGATTCCAACAGGTTTAGAAGATGATATTTTGATTCGAATTCCGATTAATATCGATGATTTGAGGCAAGAAAGGAGATTTGAGTGTTTGAGGAGGGTGAGAAACGGTTTGAAGAAAATATTAGGGTTTTGGGAATTTTGGGGTGTTCTGCCCGATTTTAACAGAACCCCAGGGGGGTATCGATTCCCCTGTGGGGGGAATCGGTTCCCCTTCAAAGGGGGAATCGGTTCCCTCAAGGGGGGATCGATTCCCTCTGCACCAAAATGCTAAAATCCGATTTTTTTAAGCATAAAATGCTAAATTAATCTTTTCTAGTGGTATTGGCAACTCATATATCAAAAATTAATTATGTTCAAACAATTAAATTAATCTTTAATCGATTTTTGAGCATAAAATTAATTTTCACTAAGAATCACAAACTCCCCCTAACTAATAGCAAGAATGCAATCAAAAATTATTATTATTATAAGCATTTTTCAAGATTTATTAAAAGTGCTAAAATTATTTTAAACACTAAGTGAAGATAGGTTGGTCAAACCTAATTCTCTCCTAAGTGTCCAAAATCTTTCCTTGTCTAAGGGTTTTGTAAAGATATCCGCTAATTGGTGCAAAGTATCAACAAATTCTAGAACTACATATTCCTTAGTGACATGGTCTCTAATGAAGTGATGTCTTATTTCAATGTGCTTAGTTCTAGAG